AGAAGTCTATAAGTGTACAACAAAGAAGCTTGTGGAAAACGTTATGGAAGGTTTTAACGGTACAGTGTTTGCTTACGGAGCAACAGGTAATCAAGTTTTTTATAACAATAAAGTATAATATAGAGTCACATGCTGAGTCCTGATATTCAGAAGCCTTTATAAGGTTGTTTGGAAACCACTAAAATACTGCTAGTCCACAAGCACTATAGACGGGTGGGGGGATCATTACCCTCAATTCGGGTAAAATACGGGCTTCTGAAATAATATTTAAGTAGGACTGGAAAATCTAAGTAATGACAATTCTCAAATACCTATGTGGTACGTATCAATATTACTGGCCTAATTCAAATTGCCCGAATTCTATAATGATGTTTGACAATATTAGTCATGTGTCAAGGGAAAATAGATACCTCATTATGAAAAATAGGGGTGGGTGGGTAAAAACGATAACAATATATACGGTGTATATATATGTATTCTATGGTTACAATACAGTCTGCGTTACTCGAAGTAGAACGTTTCAGGACAGTACACAGTATGTCAGTTTAACAGTATTGAACTAAATAAAGCATGATCAGAATTCCTATATATTTTTTATGGTTACAATACAGTCCGCGTTACTCGAAGTAGAACGTTTCAGGACAGTATACAGTATGTCAGTTTAACAGTATTGAACTAAATAAAGCATGATCAGAATTCCCATATATTTTTTATGGTTACAATACAGTCCGCGTTACTCGAAGTAGAACGTTTCAGGACAGCATACAGTATGTCAGTTTAACAGTATTGAACTAAATAAAGCATGATCAGAATTCCCACCCCCATATGGTTGCCCCTTCAACTTCTCCAGTCCTTTCAGTGTCCACGCTCTTGACAATGTAAACATTAACTAATCGGGATAATATAAACACATTTTGGTCACGTAAGCTAAGCCTAAGTGTGTATATCCTAGGCTTAGCTTTATCTTGGTAACTTACAAGTGTAAACAAAGTAATAAATTTCCTTCTAAACTCAGTAAGTTTTATTATATTTGTTGTTAAGGTTTTATTTAGGTCTAAATAAAGTAACCTGTGAAGATCGCATAACACTGCAAGGGTCTATAGCCAACTTGAAACAATAGTTTTGTTTCTGGTACAATGTAGGAGCAGGGAAGACTTACACCATGGTAGGAACAGACAGAGATCCCGGAGTTATGGTTCGTGCTCTGAGCGATTTGTTTCAAGTAGTGAAAAACAAGAGCGACACCACGATGTATAATGTTACCATGTCTTATTTAGAGGTAATACATTATAGATAAGAATCTTGTTCTCCTCATGATCGTGTCTTTGAAAGGTTAAATGAAATCATGTGCGGGGTTAACGATGCTTCAGACTGCAACGTATATATTTGGAAATGAAATATTTTTATATTCTGTAGATCCCTAAACTTTACTGTAAAACTTCCGTGTTTAAAACAAAGTCGATCTTATACTGTAACTGACGCTTATTTTCATGACAATTAGTCCAAGTATATCAAACCACCTGGTCCCGATAAACACCTGGCGACACCAATTTATATCTCTCACTCACGTGCTTCACTCTCTCTGGTTCGTCGTGATTAGAGCGTCTGTATAAAATATCTCATTCCTGATCGGCTCTTCAATACACCTAATTGAAAGTAAATACACTCATTTCCGAGTCTTATTTTATTGTTGAACATTATCGTTTTTATTTCTATTACCTGTCTCAAGCTCAAGTTGTGATTAATTTATTTAAATCGAACCGTGAAAATACCATAAAGTGGAAAATATTACTGGAAAAAGGTTCTAGCATTTGGTCGTCATAACTCAAATATTCAATCAGAGCGCTTTCTAGTGATGGTAGACAATAAAAACAGATCTGTGTTGGAAAGTTCCCCTGTGAGTCCAAGATAAATTTACGAACTTACAACGCTAAAATCTGGCGTTCGATTCCCCGCGATGGACACATGAAATAGCCGCATGTAGCTTTGCGCTAAATAAACCAACCAACGATAAAACGCTCTGAACACAGAGCTTCTATATATTTTCATTCAAGTATTTTGTAGTGTTCACACCGTTGTCTGGGTTACGGGGATTAAGTTTAAAGAACACTGTAGTATACTAGACAGTGGTATCATGATTAGAGAACACTGTAGTGCACTCCAGAAAATGCTCATAGAATTATAACCCAATCCAGAAAATGCACGTAAAGGTATAACACGCTCCAGAAAATGCTCCTAAAGCTCTAAACCACTCCAGGAACTGCTCATAAAACTATAACTCACTGCAGGAACTGCTCGTAAAACTATGACCCGTTCCAGGAAGTGCTCGTAAAGCTATTCGGTTCTTTAACAAATGCAAGGAAAACTTTAGTATTACCTTGTACAATGACGTTGTCTTTTGACTTTTGGTTTTTTTCTGTTGTTTTCTTTGAGGATATCTTGAACAGTTTTTTTTAAATATATAATTTTGTCATCTCGCTTTTCCAAGTACGGTCAAAGTATATATTTAATCGTCCGCATATTATAGGGGTATAATCAGAAATATACAGTTGAAATTTATTTCTCATTGAAAAATTCAGCTCAGAAGGTAGCAGGTTTTATTATTATACACTGCAAATGTTGCCTGAACAAGGTTAAGATATAGAACAAAACGTATAATTTAAATGTTGCCTGAACAGGGTTAAGATATAGAACAAAACGTATGATTTAAATGTTGCAAGAACAGGGTTAAGGTAGAGAACCAGAAGGAAGCTATATATATATGTTGCAGGAACAAAGTTGAAATAAGAACCGGAAGGAAGTTATATATATATATATGTTGCAGGAACAAAGTTGAAATAAGAACCGGAAGGAAGCTATAAATGTGTATATTTAAATCAATTGGCAAACTGATACAGATACATCAGTTCCAAACATCAGTGTAGACGTATCAATAGCAGACATCAGTCCTGATTCAACCAACATTATCGATCCAAATGACCCATTCCTTACTTCCGGTATCACGAAGTACTAGCTAAACCAATAAACACTGGTAATCGTCTGATTAATTGGAATCTAGATAAAGGTGAAATATCTGCTGGTGGAAATGAGTCGAAATTTGTTACATTTTAAACAAACAGTATTTTGATTACCTTCTGCCAAATAGGGACCATCTTGGTATTAATATAGGTATGATAAACGTAATTCTGTCACGTTTCGAAACATATTCGAAATTTAGGTTTAGCTGCAAACTGTTTGTTTGTTTGTTTGGGAGTTTCGCGCGAAGCTACACGAGGGCTATCTGCGCTAGCAGTCCCTAATTTAGCAGTGAAAGACTAGAGGGAAGGCAGCTAGTCATCACCACCCACCGCCAACTCTTGGGCTATTCTTTTACCAACGAATAGTGGGATTGGCCGTCACATTATAATGCCCCCACGGCTGAAAGGGCGAGCATGTTTGGCGTGACGGGGATTCGAACCCGCGACCCTCAGATTGCGAGTCGAGTGCCCTTTAACCACTTGGCCATGCCAACTGTTAATCAATGATCGTACACTTCAACGATCATGTATACTTGACCATTTTACTACAAATAGTGTTACTACACTTCAACGATCATGTATAGTTGACCATTTTACTACAAATAGTGTTACTACACTTCAACGATCATGTATTGTTTACCATTTTACCACAAATAGTGTTCGTACACTTCAACGATCATATATTGTTTACCATTTTACTACAAATAGTGTTAGTACACTTCAACGTTCATGTATTGTTTACCATTTTACTACAGATAGTGTTACTACACTATAACGATCATGTATTGTTCGTACACTATTAATAAGTCTAAATGTAAAATAATTACAAATTCAAGACGGAGGACAGTTTCCCAAACAAGTGTGATGACACATATATCAGGCAAACGAAAATATATGAGAAGCTGTAAAATGGTAAACAAT